GAAATTGAAGATCATAAATGTGACAATATTGATGTTCATAATTTAGCCTTGGTTCGAAACGTCGGCAATAATTAATAAATAACATTGATTGAAAACCAACCTTTGACCGTTTTTTGGCTTCACTACTAAATTATTCATTGGATCGGTCGGTAGGACTTCTCAATGATATTATGTCTGTATGAAAATAGATTCCAAGTTAACCCGTTGACGGGACAATTGAATATATTGAGACTGACAAAGGATGATTACGGAAATTATACTTGCCATGCAAAAAATTCAGCGGGTGAAGATAAAGCTAAAGCGCTTATCAATGTATTGATTCGACCACGAATCTATGAATTGTTTAATATTACACGTCCTGAAAACGAAGAAGCTGAAATTATTTGCAAAGCCACTGGCCGACCACCACCAGAGATTAGTGAGTATTAATTGAATCTAATTTAAGAATTGAACCAAATAATCATTTGATATTTAAAGCTTTCCGTCGCTTGGGATCATCCTATGAATTCATTCCGGGCATACAAGAATCACTACTAGGATATACGAGTATTTTCTTGGAACAAAGTGGTGACGAATACAAAGGCGAATCGACTGGTGTTCTTCGTTTTGAGACATTGCATCGATCTGACGATGGATTGTATGAGTGTATTGCACGTAATAGAGTCGATTCAGCATATAAAAATGGCCATATTACCGTTGAATATGCACCAACATTTGAACATATGTCAGATTTACCACCAGTTTACACATGGAACGAACAAAGAGCAAATCTCAGTTGTTTGGCACAAGGTACGATTTAAAAATTTGTTTGAATTAAACTTTCGAGAGAGAAAAAAAGAAACAATTTTAACTTTGATGTGTTTGTGAATTGTCAAGGTTTTCCAAATGCAACAATCGAATGGAAATGGTATGAGCGTCCAATAATAGAGCTAAACGATCCAAATTTGCAAATTGAAGGAAATGGACCACGAAGTGATTTATTGGTTATTCCACGTGCACGTGGTTACTATACTGCATACAAATGTGTTGCCAGAAATCGTCTTGGACAAGCTGAATATTTCATGGAATTGCGTGAAGCTCACATCCCCGATGTTATTCCACAAGCCAAATCGGTCGTTGTCACCGCCACAACAATTACATTCGAAATTCTATCGCCACCATATTACCCAGGTCTTCCAATCACCGCATTTGCCGCACAATACAAAGACCGAAATGAACCGGATTGGACAAATGCATACAATCGCTCTTGGTCACCAGATTCACCGGATAGTAAATTCACGGTTGAAGGTCTTCGACCACAAACATTCTATGATTTTCGTTTTGCTGCATTGAATAAAGTCGGTTTAGGACAATGGGGTGCATATGTAGCACAGGCTACATCAGGTAATATGTACAAACATAACATATTTTTTACCAAGGATCGGGTCACATAAAGAATTATACAAGATATTTATACAGGCGTGTCAAAAAGTTTTCCACCTGGCACATAAGGAGCAGTAGTTTCATATCGTTCTTGTGCCGCAATTGAAGCACGAACTGTCAACAGTATTCGCACAAAAAATTGGGTTTATATCCCCGCTCGTTTGTTTACTTCAATATTGGACATTTAGTCACTGCGATATTTTTTGGAAAATTATAAAAATCAAAATTCATGTTGAAATTAGGTATCTCACAAAAGATGGTATAGCATCAAACGATTTCAATCACTTCTTGCGTGTAGTTTATGGTGACCCTCCTCCATCGTATACCGTAGTCAAAGAATAAAAAAAATCTTCATAGTTGTGCAGAGACTAGATGAATGTTGACTCTCACACTTTTGTGACATTAGTGAAAACAGTTCAAGATGTGATGGCCAAAATCCAAGTGTACTTCATGAAATATTCCAAATGCCCATGAGTACGTTAGCTACAACCCTCAGCATCACAGCAGACAGTGTCTTCAATATATCACATGAAAAATGTTACTTGGAGAACGTTTGTTCGCGAACATTCAAAAAGTCTTTGAAAAAATTATGACAGATAAACACTTTTCTCTTCGTGATGGATTTCTCAAGCTTCTGGAATGTAATGAATGAATCAATTGTAGTTAACAATGAAGCCTGGTTCCAGGGCTATAAATCAAACACCAAAGGGAAGATGAACGCAATGGTATGCAGTGGTGAAAATGCATCAGTAGAAGGTCACCTCCAAATAGGTGTTTTCAAACATATGCCCTCCGTTTCTGAGATACAGATGGTGTATTGAGGGTTGGCTCGTCACTAAAATATACTATGGTCTTGGGTCTATACCACGCTCAAGAGATGTATCGATTGAGTTATGTAGTAGAAGAAAGATAATTTTTTCTTCTGGGGAGAACATTTCACTTCGCATAACAACTCACAAGTGAAAATTTGGCTGAGCACTACCACTACCTGAATCTTGATTCAAATTCACCATCTATTGCATTTATTGGGGCTGACCTCTAGCTACTATATCCACTTTTCAAATATAAAAAATATCTTGAAAGGAAAATGGTTCTTGATTTTATAAAAAAAATTCAAGGATTTCGAAGTGATGACCAATTGACTAACGTAAAAAACTCTCCATGAAAGATATTGACCCAATTATTTGAGGTGGCACGTTTGAGGGCTTGAACATCAATCACGGCACATGAACGATATGAAACTACTGCTCCTTATGTGCCAGGTGGAAAACTTTTTGACACGCCTGTACTTTGTATAAACGCAGACGCAACATATCCGTCGCTGTTCGCTTTGTGCAGCGCTCAATAGATACAATGTATGTGCGTGCGTCTCTTAATGGTCACATGCACACACGAACATGTATTTCCATGCCTCATATATAACGAACAGCGATGGATATGTTGCGTCTGCGTTTATACATTTATACTGCCTGCGTTTTTTATGCTAGTATAAAATTATACGCGACCCGGTCCCTGTTTTTTACAAGGCCTTTGTGTTGCTATTTGATAACAATTTGATTATATTATCTATTTTATCTTTTTCCAGTTCGATCGGCGCCCGAATCACCCAAAATATTGCACAATCTAGTCCAAAACATCGATAACAAAGACGAAGAACCATTTGTTGTTTCACCATATTCCGATAATTTTGAATTATCGTGGAGTATCGCTCCAGATAATGGTGCACCAATTAATTTCTATCAAATTCGCTACTGTCCAGTAAGTAAACGCCTGTGAAACATAAGATTTTAGCGAAGCCTTTTTTGGTTATTTTTTATTTATTAATTTTTTCTTTAGGTTGACGGCGCTTTCAATGACATCGTTCAATTATGCAAAATGAAATATGTTACGCCCACTAAAATGACTGAATTACGCGATGATACATACTATCGCATTCAAATCAGTGCCCATAACGAACTCGGAATGTCAAATCCGGCCACATTACTCATGAAAACGGCTGTAGGTGAGTCAAAAGTTAACAATAAAAAAAAATGATTATGAAATTTATTGAGAAGCTTCCGATTTGAAATATCACCCGCTCAGCAGATTAACGCTTCACATCTTTACGCTTTACATAAAAATCCATCAATCCATCCAGAGCTCTATAAAAAAAATCGAATCAATTTAGAGTTTAAAAAATGCAATAAATGTATGTATGGATGGATAGATGGACGTGTTTGGCGACTTTGTTAGATTTGAGGGGTCGATTTTACACTTTTTTGGTCCGGAATTCTTGGAAAAAGGTGGATGAGAAAAATATCAATTTTAACCCTCTAACCGGTAAGGCTGCCTACAGGGAGCCTTCACAAAATTCAATTTATCTCAAAATTAAAAAAAACTTATTCGCTATAGTTTTTGTGACATTTCGTTCGAACATTTGAACGCAATCTGACTGTCCGTAGCGGTGATAGAACTATTTTAGTGTGAAAGAGGTAATGTCAAATACGTAGGTTGCTCCTTAAGTTCGAATAATATAGTACTTCTGGTGTTGCCAGATACAAACCATTCTCATATTCGTAAAGTTGGGCATTTTTCATGAACAATAGCTATTACAGAAAGAATTTTGGTTTTGTGATGTGGCTACTCACAGAAAAAGTGGAGACGGTTTTTCCGCAAATTATTGCAGAAACAGCAGAGCAGCACTAAAAACGTGTTTTTTGTAGCTTATTTTGACAGCTCCGTACAAATGTGT